AATAATTAATTTAATCAAAGTACTCATACTATGCATATCAATTTACATATTCAAAATGATGCAAATAATAAGAAACAATGCTAAAATTATTAGAGAAGACAAGAGACCCTGAATAGTTACAGCAATTTTACACAAGAAAATCAAAGCTAGTTCCAGCACAATACCAGATTTGAAAACATCCTACAGGGCAGTTACAATCAAACCACCTGGTATGGGCACAAAACTACACATGAAGATGAAGGGAACAGAATAGAAACCCAATAAATAAATCCACACTTCTAAAACCAAGTAATATTTGACAAAGGAGCTAACATTAATCCTTGGAGAAAGGACAGTCTCTTCAACAAAGGGTTGTAAGATTATTGTATCTCCAAATGCAAAAGTATGAAACAAAATGGCTATATAACAACTTATACAAAAATCAGCTCAAAATAGATCATGGATCTAAATATACAAACTGATATAATCAGATTACTAGGGGAAAATGGGGAAACTGCAACACACTGGCATAGGCAAAGACTTCTTTGAAAAGACCCCAGAATCACAGGCAATAAAAGCAAAAAATAGAAACATGGGATTACCTCACGCTAAGAATCTTCTGCACCGCAAAGGGAATGCTCAGCAATGTGAAGAAGCAACTGAGAGAATGGAAGAAATTATTTGCAAACTATGCAACTTAAAAGGGATTAATATCCAGAATCTATAAAGAGCTCAAGGAACTCAACAACAAGAAAACAAACAACCCAGTTAAGAAATGAGTAAAGGACTTGATGAGGCATTTTTCAAATGATGAAATCTAAATAACCAATAGACACATGAAAAAATTCTCAAGATAACTATCCATCAAGTAAACGCAAACAACAAGCACAATGAGATTTCACCTCACCCCAATTAGAACAGCTTTCATAAGATATCAAAAAACAATAAATGTTGGTGAGGTTGTGAGGGAAAAGGTTCCCCAATCCATTGTTGCTTGAAATGTAAACTGGTCCAGCAACTGTGAAAGATAGCTCAGGAATCTGGAAATATGTCTACCATATGACCCAGCCATCCTACTTCTTAGAATATACTCAAACAAAGTGAAATCAGCATATGGAAGACTTATTGGTACCTCTATGTTTACTCCAGTTCAATTCACTGTAGCTAAGAAATGAAATCCAGGCAAATGTCCATCGACCAATAGTTAAAAAAATGTGGCATATGCACACTATGGAATACTATTCAGCTATAAAAACATTGAAAGTCTGCTGTTTGCAGCAAAATGGATAAAATTGGAAAACATTATACCTAGTGAAATAAACAAGTTCCAGTAAGAAAAATATTTTTCCTGATTTGTAATAACTAATAGAGTACCGAAATTTAATGTATGAGTGAAATTGACATTTTGTGATTTGATTATTGTTTACAACACAAGTCTCTGCTGTTGAAGAACAGTGTTTTTGTTTTTTTTTCTCCTTATTATTACTTGTTGAATTGTTTTCTTAGTAGAGGGTTAAGTTTATGATTATAAAATAAACTGAAGTATATATCATTGTAAAAATTAAAAGAATAAGTAAGGAATGATGAGGAAAGGTAGTGTGGGTATGATGAGAATACAACTAAATCTACATATATATGAAATACATGAAATTTATTCACATTTAATAAATTTAAAAATTATTTTAAAAAAACAATGTACAGCGGGTTTTTTAAAAAATTGTTGAAACTGTCATTCCTTAAAATGCCACTTATCTACTAGCAGTGTTGGTTATTTTTTAAGCATTGACTTCCCCCAGATAACTTCCAGTTATGTAAGAGAAGAAGCCACTTGCACCCTTTCTTATCTTGCAGCATCCCTCACTCCATTCCAACACCAATGGTGGTAGTTCAATATATACGTTCAATAATATGTTCCACATAAGGTGAATTAAATGTGTTCTTAAAGCTTATTGAGAACTAAGTGCATGCTAGCCTCTTTTCAAGCACTTTAGAAAGATTAACTTCTTTATTTCTCACATAAATCCGAAGAATCACAGCTTTTGTTACTCCCATTTTTCACAGAATAAAACTGGGATTCATTAAATAATCTGGCTAAGGAATAAGAAACTGACAGAGACAGAATGAAATACCAGCTGGTTGAGTACATGTTCCATTTTACCACCCAACATTGGCTCTGAATGGGCCTATTTACTGAGCTCTGTAACTGTGTGGCCAAGTTCTTACAACCTGAATTCTGATTTGCAAGAATTAAAAGTCCTTGTTTCAATTGAATTTTCTGTAATTCACTCTTTCCCTCAAATATAGAGGACAATCAAGCCATCTGCAGGTGAGAGAAATGTGCAGCTCTGGAAATACAGAGATTCAGTTCCTTGGCACCACATTCTCATGGGCATCAGTGAGGCTGGCAGGAAAGCTGCTCAACCTCAGGGTGGCAAACCATGCGCTGCCAAAAATGCATTTCAGTTCTGCTTCTCATTGTTCAATCTCTTCTGTTCTCCCTCATCTCTCCCCAACTCTGACCAATATGAATAAGGAATTGTCATTTCTCTTAAGCAGCGATATTCCACTGATACATGTGAGACCTTCACAGGGATTTAAATCTGAGAATGTATATCATCTTGGAAATCTGGAATGTCCATAATAGGAAATCTAAAATGCATCTGGAAAGGAGGCAGTGTGACTGTCCTCAGCAGCTGCTCTCAACCCTGACTACATATTGGAATCACACAGGACAGATTTTAAAAATACTATGCCTAGTTTCCCACCTCCAGGGACTATGATTAGATTGGTCCCAGGTTTACCCTGGAGATCAATGTGTTTTAAAAGCTGCCTAGATGATTCTAATAGTCACCAAAGCTGAGAATGTTTGGTCTTGGGTATGATTGTTGTAGTGAACCTTCATTCACAGATGCCTTTATTCAAAGGTGAACACAATCGATGTTATGACTCACCAAGTTCAATTTGTATGCATCTCTGCAATCTGGGATGCTTCACACATGCTTTGTTCTAACCCTGGTGTGCCTAGAGGATCTTATCATTCATTTCTGGAAATATTTTTTAAGATTTATTTATATATTTGAAAGGCAGAGTTACAGGGAGGCAGAGGCAGAGAGAGAAAAAGGTCTTCCATCTACTGGTTCACTCTTCAGAGGGCTGCAACAGCAAGAGCTGCCCTTATCTGAATTCAGGAGCTTCTTCTAGGTCTCTCACATGGGTGCAGGGGCCCAAGGACTTGGGCCGTCTTCTACTGCTTTCCCAGGCCATAGCAAAGAGCTAGATATGAAGGGGAGCACCTGGGACTTGAACTGGGGCCCATATGGGATGCCAGCACTGCAATTGGTGGCTTTACCCACTATGCCATAGCATCAGCCCCAGGATATACCTTTTAATTTTAACAAAATTAATAAACTATGAATAAAAGTAATTGAGGAAACACAGGGGAAAGTAACAATAGTGTTCATTTTCATGTATTAAAACAATTGTTTACAGAGAGAAGAGCCTTGTCAAGATCAGAAAAAAATATTGTAAAACTCTTAGGGGTAAGGCCGGTGCCGCAGCTCACTAGGCTAATCCTCCACCTGTGGTGCCGGTACCCAGAGTTCTAATCCTGGTTGGGGCACCGGATTCTGTCCCGGTTGCTCCTCTTCCAGTCCATCTTTCTGCTGTAGCCCGGGAAGGCAGGGGAGGATGGCCCAAGTCCTGGGGTCCTGCACCCGTAAGGAAGACCAGGAGGAAGCACCTGGCTCCTGGCTTTGGAACTGTGTATCCCTGGCCATAGCGGCCATTTGGGGGTTGAACCAATGGAAGGAAGACCTTTCTCTCTGTCTCTCTCACCACCTAACACTGCATGTCAAAAAAAAAAAAAAAAAAAACTCTTAGGGTAAAAACTTGACTAGAGATAAAAATCCACTATACTTTGAAAATCAAATTCCCAAACACAAATATAAATTCCTAAAACCCAATATAAGAAGTATAAAATAGGAAAACTCCAAATTAAAACAAGCAAGTTGAATCTCAATTTGAAGGCCACCAACCAATAAAACAGAGAAGCAAAACTTCAGTTATAGAAACACAAAATATTTCAAACATTTAAGAAATAAAACACCTATATTTCTCAGATGTACCAAAGTATAAATAAGCAAAGCATATTTTCAGATTTCTTTTAGAAAGCCAGCATTACATTTATAATGATGCCAGGTTGACTAGAACTTTCAATATAAATTAAGTATAAACCTCTCTTTCATATACAGATGTATAAATCCTTAGTATTTTTATAATAAATGAAAGCACATATGAAAATATAATGAATAACAAGTCACATATAATAAAAAATACAAGAGGTGGTTAACATTTCTTAACAAGGCATGTAAATTTTCCAGGTAGGTGAAAAATTCAAGGAGAAAATCACATGACAATTTAATGTTCAAAAACATTTAGAAATCAGCATGTAATTTTTAAAAACTGCTTGCAATATAGTAAAAAAGAGCAATGGCTTTCTTATTCAGATCAAAATTTTTTAAAAGGATCCTACAATGAAAACCATGATTAATACAGAATCATTGACAGCTTTTACCCTGGAAGTAAACCTAGACCAGGAAGTCTCCACTAGTGCCAACTTCTTATTGGAGGAGTAGTTGGGGGCGAGGGGGAGAGCAAAAAGAAATAAAATAAGATGTAAAGATCAATTTCTAACAATAAATTGCCAATATATTGGAGATATTTATTTAGGGAGAATCCATAAAATCTAAAAACAAATAAACTGATAAATGAATTTAATGTTGTGGGAAAGATCAATGTTTTAAAAATCCATTAGATTACCAAGTGCCAGCAAGAAATAACTAGAAAATATAAAAGATCAATACGCAGAGTAGAAAACAGAAGAAAATAAAAAAATTAAATTATGTTATATCTAAGTGTTATTCAAATCAATATTAAAAAGTAATAGAAACGACCCAACAGAATGAGCAGAAATACAAGGAAAACGAAAGCGCCGAAAGTGGATAAACAGAACTGTAACTCACTGCAACAGGTTACCGCCAGCTCCAGGCAGCATCCGCAGGGAGAAGGACGGGGACCCAGGGCGAGGCCAGTGGGTAGCAGGAGCTCGGAGGTGAGAGCCCTCCAGCCGCGGGGAGGCAGAGCCCAGGGGCGGCCATTTCAGACCTGAACCCAGGTCTGTCTCTCGCTGTTCCCATCCAGGACAACTTGAAGTTAGGGGTCCTTGCTATGGGGGACGCTGATTGGCTCCGTGCTTTGTGACGTTCCGTGCACTCAAGGCTGGCAAACTGTCCAATCAGGCAAGGTGACGTCCACAGTGCATCAGCACGCGGGCCTGGACGTCACAATCTTCTCAGAGTTTTGCCTGCAGAGTGAACTCCTGGGAGACAGCTCCGCCGCCAGGAGGCTCCCAAGCGAGGTCGACCTCTGCAGCTCTCCACCTTCACTCACCGGGGACGCTGGGCACCTCGGAAGCTGACAACAGCGACATGGTGAGTGTGTGGACCTGGTTGTACCGAGAGGGGAAAACGGAGCCGAAGGCCAGGAGGACACAGGCCTCCGGCATCTGTGGGCTCCATATTGGCGCTGGCACAGGGCTTCCCCTCGGTCCCCTCAGACCCGTGGGTTGGGGGCTTTACCGGCACCCAGGAACCCCGAGGTCCTGCCCCTTCCCTGCTTGGGTGAGACTTCTCAGCCCAGAGTCATAGCAGGCCAGCTGTGTGGCAGTAGCTCCACGTCTCCCCCGATTGTGCAGTGGGGACTGGGTGGTCTCTAGGGAGAATGTGGGCTGTGTGTATGCGGTTCATGCAGGACAGGCGCTGTCGGTTCCTCCTTCCCTCCCCACAGGCACCTGGTTCCCCCGAGTTTTCTCAATATGTGGCCTGCAGGGTATTTTCCAGGGCATTGACCTCTTTACACAGCTGTTTCTAGGATGTCTCACTCCTTCATATGTTTCCAATATCACAGTAACATAGACTGAGTAAGGTAGAGACAGAAGTTTTATTTGGCTTGGGGTTTTCACCCAGGTTTTAGAGAAGCAGAAAGACCCTGTAATTTGGTATTTGGGCATCGTCTTAGCACTTACACTTTCTCTGTACAGGGTGCCATCTCTATGTGCACTTTCAAAATAGAAATTTTGACCACTCAAATTTATGTGTTTTAAAAATGATTTTTCTTGCATGAAAGTCTTCCAAATCCTGTAGATATGTCTAGTTTACCAAGTTATTTTGGATTTATATTTTAATATAGGAGCCTGTTTAGTTTTGCTTGTTTTAATTTTTTCAAGATTGTCAGAGTATGACTGACACAATTTGTGTATCATCAAGGTATGAAAACTGATATTTTGCTATGTGAGGGACGTTAAAAAGTATGGACAATTCACATTATCTTTTGATTACATTTTTTCATAAACTTTCTGGAATCCTCTTGTACATATACATTATGAAATGATTAAGACAATCTAACATATCCATCACATTACATCCCTATGTTATTAAAGAATATGTAAGATATTAGCAAGTTGTGAGTATGTGATATCATAACCAACTGTTTACTGTGTTGAATATTAAGGTCTTGAGGTGTTAATTTTGTTAATTTATCTCATAGCTGCAAATGTGTGTTCAGCTAACATTTTCCCATGTCCTTCACTCTCAGCCCATGACAACCACCATTCTATTCTGTGATTAAGTGCGACTTTCTTAGCTTACACATATGAGTGATATTGTGTGGCATTTATCTTTCTGTGCCTTATTTCAAATAGCCTAATGTCCACATTCATATTTTTGGATCCACATCCTGACAAAATGGAAGAATTTCCTTATTAAGGTTGTCTGTGATTGCTGTGTATGTGTGTTTATCACATTTTCTTTATTCATATGTTGACAGTAGGGTTGTTTCCATATCTTGTTCTTGTAGGTAATGCTGCCAGTAGTGTGGAGATAAAGGTATCTATTTGAGATACTGATTTGATTTCCTTTGGATATACACACAGTTGTGAGATTGCTTTGTCATGTTCTTTGTTTAATTTTGATTGAAGACCTACATAATGTTTTCTGTATTGGATGTAACAATTTACTTTCTCAGCAACAATTTTTATATTCCTTTTTTCCACCCTGGGACAATGTTATCTTTTTACTTTTGGATAATTATTTTAACATATATGAGATGATAATCACTGTGGTCTTAACTAGCATTGTAGTCTTCATTAGCTGTTTCTGAGCCCCTTTTAAGTTAAGTTACCTGTTGGCTACTTGTATATATTCAATGGAAAACTGATCAATCCTTTGTGCAATTTTTATTACAATATTTGCTTTTGAGTTGTTTGTGTTCAAACTCAGGTTGTCCAATGTTTTCTTCATTCCTTGCTTTATCTGTTCTGTTTTTCCTATCATATGCAGAATATTTCTTAGATTTTTTTCAGTCTTTGCTTTTGTCACCTATGCACTTAGTGTCATATCAAACAATCATTGTTGAGACTAATATCAATGAATTTGCTTCCATTTGTAAGGGGTTTTATATTCTCAGACCTTTTATGTAAGCCTTCAATTCATTTTGATTTGACTTTCATGCCTGGGTAATATAAAGATATTATATTTCAGTTTTTGGCATGTAGATGTCCAATTTTCCTCTGCTTCAGATGTGGTCACTAAACACTAAGTGGCAGGATCCAGGCAGAAACTGTCACAGTCCAGTTTTTCCCTAATCTGCCTTGTCTCCCAGACCCACTCTTCTGTGCTCTGCTGCTCTTCCCTGTCTGCCTGAAGAGACCTCAGAAGTGAGCATGCACAGAGAGAGACACATGAAGCAGTGTGCAATGTTGGGGAGAAGCAGAAACTATGTAGTAAAGGGGCAGGGCCCAGAAGGCTCTGTCTCCTTTCTCTGAAAGCCTTGGATATACAGAGGCACTTCAAAAATTCCCTGAGGGATTGACATTTGGCATGTGTTACAACCCTGCTTAGTATGTCCACATCCTATATTGGCATGCCTAGGTTACAGTCACAACTCTCAATTCCAGCTTTATGCTAATATGCACTTTTGGAGGGAGTGATGGCTGAAGTATGTGGGTCCCTGTAACCCACATGAGAGACTCATATAATCTGGGAAGCAGAGCTGATGGGGTCCTCCATGCAGAGTGGATGAACATAAGGTGTTCCTTTGCTGCAATGTGTGTTGGTGATCTGGAAAATAACACTCCATCATGAACTTTGTATGTCAAACAATGATGCACAACTGAGAAAAGGAGCCCACTGAGGTATTCAGGCATTTTTTTCAATTAGTCTATGAAGCTGCCATCCCCACAGGGAAGGGGCCCAACTGGAATAGTCCCAGTCTGGCCACATGGATGCAGGAGGTTTATTTAAATTTTGAAAATTAATTTTATTCACATTAAAGGCACAGCGATCTCTCATCCACTGTTCTCTCCAGATATTCACAATAGCTGGAATTCAGCCAGGTTGTGATGTGAAAACATCAGGTTTTATGAAGTGAAAATCCCAGAACTCAGTGTGGGTGGCACAGACCCAAGTACCTGAGCTATTATATGCTGCCTCCTAGGATGCACTTTAGTAGGAAGCTGGATTGGAAGTGGAGTGGGACTCAAACCCACACACTCTAATATAGGATGTGGGTCTCGAAAGAGCCATCTTACATGCTGTTCCCCAATGCTCACCCCTCTGTTATTTTGAGGACTCCTACAACAGTCCAAACCAACTCTCCTGGCCCTGATGGTCATAGTCCCTGAAGTTAAGCTGTACAGACCCTCAACACTCTAGAAAATACCCAAGTACATCCACGCAATGGAGTGTTCACAGCAGCACATTCCTGCTGTGCTTGTCACTCAGAACTATGAAGCTAAAGGTGTGCCAGTCAGGTGCTGTTCTGCCTGACACCTCTTCATCCACTTTCCACAAGCTGATACCACATCTGGCCATCCACATCAAAGTGGTCACTATTAGATGCTGTGTTGAAGGGGGATCCCAAGTTGTCTCATTTCAGATAAACTTCATGTGTTGCTTCAGACACTCCTTGGCACTGATATGGCTCATCCCCCCAGATAGTCTCCATAGCAGGTCCCTTGGCACAGTAGTTCATGCACCCCACAGGCACCTTTGTGGGTGACAGTCATCTGTTTACTGGGCTCATAGCCTAGATAATTGTGACCTCTTGGACACTGAATCAGGTATTACTTCATCAGTGTGGTGAACCAGCATGCTGGGTCATTGGCGAAAAGGAGGACAAGTCCTTAGTATACCTGCATGGTCAACATATTAAGGCGGGACTCTTCCTTTTACCATGAACCCTGGTATTGTTTCTCCCCAATTCTCATTTACGGTTTCTCATCCTTGGTTGGCATGGACAGTCTGGAATATCTTCTCCACCAAGCCTAATGCTTTGTACAGATGGGGTATGCTGACAAAGGGCCTGTGCATTTCCTCAATTACCTCTGCAGCATCAACACTCAAGCAAGGCCATAGTAGAATTTGCCTCAGTTAATCACCACATAATGGAAATATGTGTTTTGAAATTTGTATTTGTAACTTATTGCAGGTGCAAGCTTAACATTCTGCCTCACAATCATAATTCCAACCAGCCTATTTTTACAGGTTAAACAAATAAATCATTTTCAGACTGCATTGATTTGCAAGAATATGGTAAAATAATTCTAGTGACATTAGGGTTAGATGTTTAATATGTTGGTAAATTTGCCTAGAGAGAGTGCCTGCCTTCTAATTTTGTATTAGGAAGGAAGGCAAGTTAGGGGGTGACAACCATAGCATTATGTAATGAGTAGTAGACAACTTTTCTGTTTGGTTTAACCCTTTGAACAGCCTAACATGGAATAGAAACTGCTCAAATGTTTGTTGAGTGAGTAGAAATATCCAAGGAACCTGGAAGATATGAGAAATACCCAAAAACCTATATTTTTTCAGTGATTTACTGAATACCCAGCTTTGGCTTCATGCTGTGGGAGCAAGTGCTGTGTCTAGGAATACTGATAGCAGCAGCAATTTATTGTGCTTCTTGTGAGCCAAGCATTCTGCACACATTTGTTTTTCATTCTCTCTGTTACTCTGTGAGTTGGACGTTGTGGGTTTTTTTATCCATAAGGAAACTGAGGCCAAAAGAGGCCAAGTAGCTGGACAACAAACAGTAAGGTGTTCCCTTAACTCCTGTATTCTAAGGCCTGCTTGGCTCATAAAGCATCCTTTCTTGTGGGAAGTAAACATAATTGGGACAATTACAAATTAGCATGCTAGGGAATAATTGTATAGTATGCCTCTCTTTCTACATATTTGTGTGCTACCAGCATTTCATAAAGTGTGGGGTTTTGTCATGA